TGATTGATTGTTCAATCAATCCTGATTTGTACAGCGCCAATTCATAATGTCATCTCAAGACACTACAAAAGAACAGGTAATAGACCTTACTCATTGTTATATTATTTTACAAAAGAGCAGGTACAATGCCTTACTAATCATTATATTATCTACAAAGACCCAACATTAATCCAACATTAATCCAACATGAGCACTAAGCTACATTTAAGAAAGTTACAATGGCAAGGAAAAACTTCCTTTAAGAGGCAGAAACCTTGAGCAAAACCAGATCAATGTTGAACAGCCATCTGCTGAACTGAGTTGGGCTTGGAAAGGGGGAGTGAGGGAGATACAGGAAAAAGGTTTTTGAAGCAACAGGATCTGTTTAGAATTGCTTCATACAGCGGTCCACTTTCTTGTTTGAGCACGGTTGCGTCTAGTCGAGTGCACATGAAACGTGCCCGAGACAGCCTCTTTGAGCGGACTCGGGCATGGTACCCAAGTACGGTATGTTTGTGTTCACACTGATCAAATGAACCAGACTTTGGGGACAAGTGTACTAGGATCTGGGCCTGTGTCTGGGTTCCTAATGTGAAACCACCCTAGGAGCTTTGTAAGTGAGAGAAAGGATTTTAAATTTGATTCTAGATTTTATAGTGAGCCAGTGCAGAAAAGTCAATACAGGAGGTGGTCCATTTTCCTAGTTCTAATCAGTCCACCAGCTGCAGCATTTCAGACCAGTTGAAGAGCCTTTAGAGACTTACTGTAGGTAACAAATGCCTGGATGACAGGATATGCCTAAGTTTAGATATATTTCCAAGGTAACAAAATAGGCTGTCCTTGAAAGTTGTTTTATGTGGGAGTTGAAAGACATATCTCCATCAAATAGAACTCCTAGATTCTTAACAGTGGTGCTAGATGCCAAGCTGATGCCATCAAGGACAGTTATATTATTAGAAAAAGTCTACCTGAGGTTTTTAGCACAATAACTTCAGCCTTGTCTGAGTTAAGAAGCAAAACATGAGACTGGATGTGAAAAACGAAGAACAAGGATTTGAAAAGAGGTATAATTCAACTTCGGTCGAGGGTTTATTAGAGAGCGGAATTAAAAATATATGCCACTCTACAACAAACCAATGGAGCAGAATAGAGTTGTTTGATTTTACTATCCAGTTCTTTGCCTATAAGTCCTGGATATACTCGTCATCCTTTAGAGTTATGCTCATTTGGAGGCTTGGGACAAATCCTGTGTCATTATCATAATAAGAGAACGCATGATTTAAAAAAGATTGGGACTGAGCTTGAACTCTTGCTTTTCTCTTTTAAATGAAGATAAAGGGAATTATATGGATTTTTATTAAGTTTACAATAAGGGAACACCCAACAGTTTGATCCAATCCAACTACAGTATATTTAGGCCTTAAACCTAACATATTAGGGCAACTGAAAGACAGATAGGCAGCACAAAAAACATAGTATTACCCACACTTACTTACTTATCAGATCTTTTGCAATAAATACAAGTTTTTTTTGTAAACATTTTTCAGTAATTGTGTTTCTTACTGCTTTTTATTTTTACTTTTTAAGCATAGATTAAAAAGGTCATTGTTCTTTTGCAATGTATTTTTTCTACATGTGTGCATTGTACTATTGAGGTACAAATGCATATAAGCTTCAAATTCACATGATGAAATCCAAGTGATGCAATTAACCCTCTCCAGACTGACTTGCATATTTTTAATGCTGATGAAAGGCTTCTGTAATTGACCTCAGGGAACAGGCTTTGCTACAGCCAGCTAATTATGACTCGGTAGTCATTGTACTGGGGTCTCATGGGATGCTTTGACAATTTGTATATCTATATAGTTATTCAGATTCAGCCATATTTTTCAGTCTCTCAGTGTTGCCTTTATTAATCAGTACCCTGAAACAAAACGCTGTTTAAGAGCTTATCTTCTATAAGCCATTTCTGAGAGGGGATATGGTAGCAGTTGTTTGTAATCATTACATAAGAGTACATGCAATTCCTATGGTAGAGGTGGTCAACAGGTCATTAACTCCATGCTCCTCTGAGAGCAATTAATAGAACAACAACACCCTGGAGTGAGGACTAATTCACACAAACAGACTTTGTAGTCAGTACACCTTCTCACTCAGCTGAAAAAGAAAGAAGAAAAACATAAATTTCAATGAATTAAGTCCTATCTTATTCAAATAAACTTCAGATTAATAGACAAAAATGCCTTCTGTACAAATTACACCACTCATGGAGCCAACTGGAATACCGGCTAGTATGCATGGCACAATACATAAATGCATTGCAGATGATTACAAACATCGACAATATGTATCTGTAAATGATAAATGAACTTGAGCTTATATAGTGTTTTTTTGGTCTTCTGACTATTCAAAGCACTTTTACACTGCAGGACACACATTCACACACTGTGTCCATCAGTATTAACTAATCCATTCTTACACATTTGAACGCCGCTGATGCAGCAGTGTGAGCAATTTGGGGTCGAGTGTCTTGCAAAGGACTCTTCAGCATGTGGCTGCAGGAGCTGGGGATTAAATCCTGACTTTCCAATTGATTGACGACAATACTTTCCACTGTGGCACAGTCTGAAAAGGGACCTAGATAACCTGGTTCCAAATTTTACCCCCATGCACCCCTTTTTCATTTAACTCGAAAACACACATCAAATAAGTGAACACACCATAGCAATCTTATCAACAAAACTAGTAAACCAAAAGATTAACTTTCAAAAGAAGAAATTGAAACTGGTGTCAGCAGGCCAGGTAATAAGCCCTATAAGCAAATTCCAAGGTCTGCTTTTCACATGATCTGTGATCTGTATGAAACAAACCTAATGGAAGCAGCTTAGTAATTTGCAGATCAATGACGATCATCATGCTATGAAATGATTTACTGTGAAAAAGACCTTTGCAGATTCTTAGAAATAAAAGCAGCATTTCAAAAGTGCGGGTGCAAAGGAACTGTGATGAACATAAAAACATTCCAGTGCTCATTTTAATATTGTTTGCTCGTTCTCTGTGGAATTTTACTAAGAAAAGCATTGATATTCTAGTGTTTATGGTCACTTTGTATCAAATGTTACTTTCCATTCACTCTTGCTGTGTGGTTGTGTGTGACAAAAAGCAATAGTTTATCAATACTTACTCTGCTGTAGTCTGTAGCTGTACACTTACAGATTGAAGTTTGTTGTTTTGTCTACCTCACCTGCAGGAGCAGCCAGTGCGCGCACACACGCGCACACGCGCACACGCGCACACGCGCACACGCACACACGCACACACACACACACACACACACACACACACACATTTGTTGTTTTGAGATTGTAATGTTAATGGACTTAGTTGGCAGGGCTGATGCAGGGAAGGCCATAGTTGGAATAAGCCATGCCAAACTCCTAAACTGATTGGATATATTGACCTTGTCAGACGCGAAACTCTGTTGCTGTGTTTCAACAGCATGTTTCATTTTCTTGATACAATAACATTAGACATTTAGTTTCTTATATTTTAATTAAACCAATGGTCGTACTCTGTTACTGTTATTGATGCAGTTCTGTATAAGACATCAATGGAGTGTCAGTGACATCATCCAGTAGTTTCAGAAGAGGCGTTTTGAAGCCAAGCGGTCTCAAACTAACTTTCGGTCACCGTAGTAATAAGACAAAGAGGTGGAGTTGAAGAAAAGCGCTATACAAGCTCAAGACCATTTACTATTTTAAGTGTGTGGAATATGGTAAATGGACTTCATATAGCTTTGTATAGCACATTTCTAGTCTCCTGAATACTGAAAGCGCTTTTACACCTCAGGCTACATCTACTCATTCACACCAATTCACACACTGTTTGCTGTTTTGTAAAGTGACCATCTAACTAACAGTAACTGATCCCATTCATACACATTCACTCTCCGCTGATGAAGTGGCAGGAGTAATTAGGGGTAAAGTGTCTTGCCCAAGAACACATCAGACATGTGACAGCAGGAGCTGGGGATCGAATCCCTGACCTTCCAGTCGAGGGACGATCAACTCTACCACTGACCCACAGCCGGAAATAAAACAGTTTTTTGTACCAGGCTGAACACATTTTATGGCGCTGTGAAAATGGTAATTTGAATATGGGTGTTAATGGGAGTTCATGGGATTTTGGAGCCAGCCTCAAGTGGAGACTCAAAAACTGCATTTCTTTGCACTTCCTCATGACTTAATTTTTCCACACCAGAGGTTCCTTCTTAGTGGTAACACACAGTGTTGATATCGATATTTATTTTACTGACGAATTCACTAAGACTTTATAAAAGCACTTTCAAAAAAGGGACTGAAGTTTGTGTGAAAATTTGCACTATAAACATATTTTTTTGTTTTTGGCTGTTCCGAAAAGCATTCTGATCTGTGACATAAATTCTTGTTATTTTCTGAGGTATGATCCATTGCAACCTTGGTGTTTTCAGATTAAAAGCCAATTAAAATACACCCTTTTTATGTTGGGCCCAAAATAATGCACATTCATCTATTTATTTCAAAATTAAATGCAACACATTTTGCAACTAAAAAGTTCTTATTAAATGCAACACAACAGTGCTTCAAAGCATACCCCATGACCTCCAAATGAAGCAGTTAATGTAGAGATGATTTTGTTGTTGATAAAGCACTCAAAAATTGAAGCAGTCAATCAAATAGTCAATCTCACACCATATCAGAAACTTGAAAAGTTTCCTAAACTCTCCATGAGCTAATTAATGTGATGACGTCTACCAAGTTAGAGTACATAAAAGATTTTGAGCACCTCAGAGCCCACAGTTGTGGTTCATATGTGTGTTTTAATCATGCTCAAACTCACGCGCAAAATACAGATTACAATTGAGGTTGAACAGAAGATTTTTTTGGGAGGTTGCTGATTATCCAAAACTGTGGTAAGAGGTATAAGAACCAAAATACTGACTTTTTTTTTTTTTAAAGCAGGAAGGCAATTTGGTTTAGAGGATGGAAAACAGCACTAACTCTTTTTACTTCAACCTTACTTTGTTCATGAACATTGGGCACTACCGTTATCCATCCTTTGTTTTTTGCCTTCTTCTCTACAGTTTTATTGCGTCTGCAAATCTTGCCATGATATTGATCATAATAAGGGAAAGGACACTTCATGAACCAATGTATATTTTCATTGCATTTTTATCTGTCAACTCTCTGTATGGGTCCACTGGTTTCTTCCCCAGATTCTTAATGGATCTACTGTCTGATAGTCATTTAATCTCTCGTCCTGCTTGTTTCACTCAAATCTATATTATTTACACATATGCCTCTTATGAACTGACCATACTGAGCATAATGTCATATGATAGATATGTTGCTGTTTGTCATCCTTTACATTATCACAGAAAGATGAACTCTAAAACAGTCTATATGTTAGCTTTTTTGGCTTGGGTCAGCCCAGCCTGTTACCTCACAATAACACTTAACATGATAGTCAGGCTTCCTCTATGTGGAAACATTATAGAGAAGGTGTACTGTGCCAGCTGGAATATTGTCAAATTATCATGTATTACAGATGCTGTTGATAATATTTTTGCACTGTTGGGGGCAATAACAATAGCTTTTCTTCCCTTTGCTTTTATCTTCTACACTTATCTGAGAATTGTTGTTGCTTGTTGGAAAAACTCATCAGAGGTCAGGGGGAAAGTTTTACAGAGTTGTTTACCACATGTTATATCCTTTGGTATTTATTCTATAACATCATTTAGTGATACTGCCCTGAGCCGACAAAATCTTGAAAACATAAATCCATTCACTGCCATAATTATTTCTTTAGAATTTGTTATCATTCCTCCACTTCTGAATCCTCTAGTGTATGGCCTGAAATTACCAGAAATTAGAAGACACATTATCAAGATATTCTGCTTTAAAGCTAAAATTAAAAGAAAAATACCAGATTCTTCAGTGATTGTTTGAATGCTCTGCATCAAAAGTCTCAACAAAAGAAAAACAGTCTCAGTCAAAAGACAGGGGTTTCTCCACATTGTTGTTGTCTTTAAATATTATGAAATAAGACCTTATGGTATGATACAATCTGTAAATTGAAGTTTGCTGGGAGCATGCAACCCTTGCCTATATCATCTAATGCTTTAAAAATGAGCTGCTCAGATGATTTACAGTTTCTGAAATTGTATAGTCTTAAACTAATTGTGTAGAATGTGAAATATCAGAAGAAAAAGGAAAGTTGATAATATATGATGATGTATAAAAGCTACTCTAAATATTAGAGTAAATACAAACTTTGACAGGCATTAATTACATTTTATATATGTTTTATTCTTCCTTTTAGATTCATTTATGATTCTTGATGTTTTAAATAATGAAAAACACTACAAGCTGATGTTGGAAACGTATTTTGGAGCTTGAAATTATTTTATATTGATCACCTCTGATATCACTGAACCCACCAAAACTACTGCTTATTGTGAATGATTGTGTTTTTAAAATGTATTTTTGTAAGTATTGCAGATTAGGTACAAATACGATGTCGAGAACTTCAACTGAGATTTAGACAACGTTTTTATGTTTTAATTCTCCACCTTATCTAAGTGATAAATTCACTTTTTTCTCCATTGCATTTGTCAGAGAAATGTATTTACTAGACTGATATATGTTCCATTTCCTTCCTCTTCAGAGAAAACCATTACAGCTCAGATGATTTTGAATGTTTTTAATAAATTGTAACACTCATTGTACCTTTATGGTTGGGAGAAATTATATTTATTGAACCAAATAAACAAATGAAACCCTCTTGATTGGCAAATGAAAATACACTTTGAAAAGGTTTTCTACAAACATAATAATTATCTTATAATAATCTTATAGAATATGATGTTTTTCCTGTAGAATAAGCTATTAAACAGTATATTAGACAGTTAAAATGAACTCAAACATATAGTTCAATGGAACAGAAACATTAATGCGGCAGTATTGTTCATATAAAAAGGTCATTTTAAACAGGAAAACACTAACTGAGGTGTATTCCTGATTGTGGACTATGGGATTTTCCCCCTGGGATTTGGGATTAATATCAAAATGTATTAATCATAATCTTAATTATTATAATATTTTTGAAAATACCATTGCTACTGTCAAATCCTAACAACTACATGAATAATTTCACTTTATATATATATATAAAAATATGTACATACGTTCACTTAAGTAAAGTTTAAATGCATAACAATAATTTATGCATTATTTTGTTCATCGCTGGTTAAGATAGGACTAACTAACTTTTTAAATGCAGGTTTGTCGTAAATTCCCCCCACAAGCCCCAACTGAGCATATTCATTTTTTCATTGCATTAAAGGAGCAAAATGTAACTCTGACGCCTAGTGTTTAAAATGGGTACTGCACTCAAAATTCAAAACATTGCAAAGAGCCGTCTCCCCCCACACCGTCCTCCCTGGAGTTGTTGTGCAAGGTGGTTGCAGACTCGAAAGCTTCAGTATTAAACCAGTTCACTTGCCTACTTTCATTGCTGCAACACCTGTTTGTTTGTTATTTGCCTGGCAAACTGAGGGGCGTCCACAGCAGCCATGTGGCGATGCCTTAAAACTGCCTATACTCTGGTCAAAACAAAAACAAACCATTACGCACCCGAATCAAAACTTAGGAGGAGGACATACTGGCTGCTGAGTAACAGGGCAACCTCGTCACCAAAGCCTTTAGAGCACTAATTTGGTGTGTGAATTGTCACAGACCTGTGGATGTATCTACTGTAAGTCAAAGAAATTAACAGCTTGTTGCTAAGTGGGTGGAAATTGACTGCAGGACGGTCAACGTTGTGGAATACTCGGATCTCGGAAGAGACGTCCTATGGTTAGTGTTGTTACCATTGTTACTGGAAGGGGTTCCGTCAGGAGACTCATTAGTTTTACTAGGGGACTTCAATGATCACGCGGGTAATGATAGAGACACCATGAGGGGGGTGATTGGAAGGAACGCCTGATCTGAACCTGATCAATCAATCAATCAATCAATCAATCAATCAATCAATCAATCAATCTTTATTTGTATAGCGTCAATTCAAAACAAGCGTTATCTCGAGACACTTTATAAAAAGCAGGTGAAAGACCTTACTCTTTGTTTTTTAATATTACAAAAGAGCAGGTAAAAAGACCTTACTTATTGCTAGATTACAAAGACTCAGCTTAATGCATCATGAGCGTAGCACTTTAGCAACATTTAGCAAAAGTTACAGTGGTAAGAAAAAACGTCCTTTTAACAGGCAGAAATCTTCGGCACATCCCAGGCTCATGACGAAACAGCCATCGACCAAAGCTACCGGGAGTGATGCTTTGTTGTTTGACTTCTGTGCTAGTCATGGATTGGCCATAACAAAAGCCATGTTTGAGCATAGGGATGTTCATAAGAGTACTTGGTACTAGAGCACCCTAGGCCAAAGATTGATGATCTACTTTGTAGTTGATCCCTCAGATGTATACTATTCACATATATATACTTGTGTATACTAGGCTTTGTGCTGGGAGAACTGAGCATGTGTTTCGTCTCATCCAAGATGTGCCAGATTTCCACCTGTTGTACATCAGAACAACTTTTTCATATTTATTTCAATAAAGAAACATCTATTGTTGTAAGTTGCTTTTTCATTTTTAAATGAGCCTCGGATGTGGTCGTCCAAATGTAAAACACCACTCGTTTGATTTTGTGAAAAACCTGTACAGTCCAGATAATCAATACTGATGAGTAGAGACTGACGATTACATTCAGATTTTACATTGTAATGAGTAATAAGGTGTACAATGTCAATGTACTGGAGTAAAAGTATCATTTTTTAAGATGTGGTGAAGTAAAAGTTATAATTGCAAAAAAGTAAGATACTTAAGTAGATTTTCCAAAAACATCTATCGTTCTATCTAGCTGTCTAGAGAGACAGAGTTGTTTATCATCAAGTGTCCTAAAAGATAATGACATCACTGTCATAATTCTCCAGAGTAAAAAAACTGTGACGTGATGCCAAAAGTCAGACAACATAAAAGGCTCTTTAAGCCTTTACCCCCAGTACCAGCACTGGTGATGTGTTTCCAGATTAAACTGGGGAAAAATCTGAGGACACAAATACAGATAATTCTCCTCAAATTCGGCAAGTATACGGAAACTACTGCAGACATGTCCAGAAACATGTCATGTTAGGCTTAACAATGTTTGATTTTTCCTTAAAACAGAGCTCTGTCATGTCACAAAGAAAAACTGAATTCCTATATGCACTGACTTACTGAGAGTGGAATGAAGAACAGTACCGATTCCTTTTATTTCAACCTCACCATGTTTGTGAACATTGGAGACTATCGCTATGCAGCCTTTTTCTTTTGCTTCCTGCTCTACACCTTTATTCTATATGCTAACCTTGTAATAATAACAATTATATCTCGAGAAAGAACACTACATGAGCCAATGTATATTTTCATTGCTCTATTATCTGTAAATTCTTTGTATGGTTCTTCTGGATTCTTCCCCAGATTCTTAATCGATCTTTTGTCTGCTAATCATTTGATTTCCCAGCTTGCTTGTTTCACTCAGATATATATTATTTACACATATGCTGCCAATGAAATGACCATTCTTAGCATTATGGCATATGATAGATATGTTGCTGTATGTCATCCTTTACATTATCACAGAAAGATGACTTCTAAAACTGTTTTAAAGTTGTCAGCATTTGCATGGATTTTTCCAGCCGTTGGTATCATAGTACTCATTTCTTTGTCAACCAGGCTTCCTTTATGTGGTAATGAGATACAAAAATTGTTTTGTGCTAACTGGAATGTTGTAAAATTGTCATGTGTTGCTACCGATGCCAACAATATTTATGGTCTTTGGTTTACTATAACTACAGTTTTCCTTCCCCTTGCTTTTGTCTTATTTTCCTACTTGAAAATTGTAATTGTTTGCTGGAAAAGCTCTGCAGAATTCAAAGGGAAAGTATTACACAGCTGTCTGCCACACATTGTCTCATTTGTGATTTATTCCATCACTGGATTCTGTGATATTGCTCTGAGTCGGTATAATATTGAAGAGATAAATCCATTTGTGGCAGGTATTCTTTCACTTGAGTTTGTTGTCATTCCTCCCGTTCTGAATCCCTTAGTATATGGCCTTAAATTACCAGAAATAAGAAAGCACATTTTACAGACGTTATCACTGCATAAATTAATTTCTTGAACGTTGTTAGATCATTGGAACAGTACAGCATAATATCTGATTGAAGTCTTAGAAACACAGGCTATTGAAACCTAGTAGTCAACTGTTAGTAAATACTTCCTATAACATCTTATGTTTTTAATTTGCTATGACAGGACAGCTAAAAGAGAATGCAGGTTTATCACTGTAAGTAATCAGGGTTCAACATAAAAGACAATTCCTGCTCTGGAATAATCAGTGACAATTTTATTGCCAGGCTCACTGTTTAATAAGTGTTAAATGAAAGAGTGCGTTGTCTGGTCATAATTTATTGTATTCAACTTCACCTAGATTGAATTAAATAATAATAATAATAATAATAAACTTAAAAAAAAATAATCAAGCCTCAGAAAATGAAAATGTTCAATGTTCTTTCTTTGGTAACTAAATAGCTACAATGAAAAGTTGTTGTGTGCTTAAGCACTTTGGTCTGCCTCGGCTGTTATAAATGTGCTATATAAATAAAGTTGACTTAACTTAAATAAACAATGTTGAAGTCCTTGACGTTGCTTTCTTGCAAATAAAAAAAACTGCATATTGGACTGCAAGTTACAAAAGAATGAACAAGTGTTGAACATCATACAGTTATTAATTCTGAAAACAATACAACCCTTTCTCTTTGTCAGCTTCATTTAAATGGCACAATCCTTCTTATAATAATTTTACAGACTGCTAGTTCATCGATCAATGAGATGTGAAGGTATATAATTTACATTGTGTGGGGAACACATACCAAGTGGGTTAGTGGTGTAAGTTTCTGATATTAAATTACCTGAAATGTGGTAAAATATATTCAGTTTAGGAAGTGGAAAACACAAAAGAAGACAAAATAATACTTTTTAAATAAAATGCTGCTATTTTTGCGTTTGAGTTGTCTAAAGAAACCCATTTACTACTGAAAGACAGAAATGGATACTGCTTTTGTCCCTTACAATTGCCATACAGTTTGTACAGCACAAGCAAGATGTGGATATGGAAGAGAGCGAGAGCTTTCAGATTGTCAATGTGAACTGTAAACAGTTATGACCCAGTGGGGTTAATGGAAGATTTAAAACAATCTTGGATGGATTGAAGTTTGACATCTGATTGTTAATAAAGACCCTCTGACTACACTATTTGTGATTGTTAATAAAGACACTCTGACAACACTATTTGTGGTTGTTAATAAAGACCCTCTGACAACACTATTTGTGGTTGTTAATAAAGACCCTCTGACAACACTATTTGTGGTTGTTAATAAAGACCCTCTTATGCTTCTGTTTTGAAAGCTTTAAGTCAATCGGTTGGTGACCATTTCATCACTGACAACACTATTTTCGATTGTAATAAAAACCCCGCCATTGACGTTAACATCAGCTGTCTTACTGAGAACGCGGTCACAGATGGAAAGATTTCAAACCAGCAGGTTGATTTTATAAAACATACAGCTGATAAAGTATGTCAACAGCTCTGAGGTATAAAAAGCAGAGACAGGGATGAGCTATTGTGTTCAATTCCCAAAGAAATATATAGACTCACAATTGTTTATGCTATCACTCTATCAACATAACATCAAAACAGGCACCAAATGAACAGCAAATCAACCTCTTCAATGTTTCAACATTGTGGTCTCTCTGTGTGATCTTGTAGTTCTATAGGATCTTGTTAACCCCGAGTACAGCTGCTCATGATTTCACTCCACTGTGATAAACCCAGTTGGTTAGGGCATGCCGTCGAACGAAGCAAAACCACAGGGGAGACATTGCACACAAGGATACTATGGAAACCGCCAGTTAGGCTGAGAAAGGAGCTTGGCCAATCTTTCATTTCCAAAGGACTCTTCATATTTCTAAGCAAATAATTAAAAAAACACTCAATATAACGCTCACAAAGAAGGTCTCTCCAGCATCATATATTGTACAATTTCTGAATGTCCTTTTACTCAATAAAAATTGTTTTCCCAATAACTTCATCAGAAATGGACTGGCCATTACACACAGAACTACAACCAGGGTCTAAAATTAACTTTTTGACTCACCAGCCAAGGTGGTGGCGAGTTGAAGAAATTAACCGACCAGGTATATTTTACTGACCAAAATATTAATACACTTTTCAGTAATTGGTAACAGAGCAGAGCACAGTGGCTCTGCTGGCATGCTCCGGAGACGGACGTTGCTCGCTGTGGAAATAAGTGAGAGTGAATAAAGAAAAGTTGAACCGACCGTTTGACCAGGTCACACACAAACACAGACATCAGAGAAGCAGGAGAAAGTAGCTGAAGCTTCACCGAACAGACTGAAAACTGTTTTGGTACAAACATTTACCAGCCATGTGGCACAGAGCTCTTTGAAATGTACTAGCCAAATGAACTACCAATACCCATTGAGGTCAAAGGTAAATAAATTACAATAGACCTGGATATGTGCACATACAGATCAGCCCCATATTTCTCCCTTTACAGCTCCACATTCAATTTATTTTTATTTCATGAATACAATGCATAAAAATGAGCCGGCAGGTCAAAAGTTTGCAGTAGTGAATCATTCCAACAATCTGAAGGAAGAAGAAAATACATTTTGACATAGATATCTAGTTGCTGGGGCACCTGTGCACTCGGTGCCAGTGGCCTACGTTTGAATCCGACCTGTGGCTCCTTTCCCGCATGAATCTGCATGAATCTCGCAGAATCTGAGTCAGAGATGGAAATAAGGCTCAACAGTGTGGTTCCGGAAGTAAAAATCACATTGATTTTCTCCATAGGGGATTTGATTATTAGCCATAATGTCATAACCATCCAAGGTAGACTTACCTTGAGCTACCCGAGTGTGAAATGGTGGTCTATGCTCCTGTAGGAGACACAAGTTCATATCAACGTTGTTTTAAGAAAAACAAGATTTATTCACAATATCAGGGGAAAGAACTACACTACCCACGATCATAAGAGTGTCACAGCTACGTCTCTGATTGGTTGAGCTTGCTGTTACCATCGCAATATAGCTCAACAAGGATTGATCACTTTTTTGGTGGCTCTGGTTCCGAGAGTACATTGCCCCATTCAAATCCTCCCTTGATTTTTCTCAAAATCCTTACATCAAGAGATTGGTGCCTGGAACCAAGACAGCCAGCTACCCCTGTACTCGTGACTATGGTACATTTCATTTGATGATGGCTTTTATGTCATGAAAATAGTACCAGACTGTTTCTCCCTCCGCTCCAGCACAGCTCACAGTGTCGACCTTGTTCTGACAATCAACAATCTGGAAAGAAAGTAAAACAAAAAATAAACCCTCGCGCAGTGTGCTTAAGTAGGAAATGGCTTCCAGCACCTAACCAACAGCCCAGCCTTCAGCTGCTGTGTGGGAGCCATTGATGGATGCCACATCTGCGTCAAGGCTCCCCATGGTCCTCATGCAGCAGACTACCTGAACAGGAAACTCTTCCACTCGGTCCAGCTGCAGGCGATCTGTGACAGCATAGGCAAATTTCTGGACATTTTTGTGGGCTACCCTGGTTCAGTCCACGACACCAGGGTGCTTAGGAATAGTCCAGTATTTGTCAGAGGCTGTTACCCACCAGCTGGATATTTCATTGTGGGGGACGGGGGATATCTGTGCCTCAATGCACCGGTGTCCCTCATTACCCCATACCGGGAGCCACTGAGGGGGAGAGTGGAGGTGCGCTATAATGCTCACCATGCCAGAGGGCGGTGCAGAGAGGGCTTTTGGCATGATGAAGGCACGGTGGCGAGGGATCTTTTTCAGAGCCCTGGAAGTAGCGCATACCTTTGCTCCGAATGTTGTGGCAAGGTAAAACATGGGTTTCTGGTCACATTTTCTATAAATTCTGAAATGAATTTGCACTAATGTTATTTCCCCCACTTTCTCTTTCTTTTAGTTTGACATTATGGGCTGAGCTGCCTTTCTTTTCTGAGTTTGGGCTGTTTAATTGAGAGTTTATGGTGAGTATGCATTGGTGTCAGGTTTTACCCTCCTGATAGATGGCTGCAGAACTTTACATTTGATATCATTCAATTAACACAACTGGACTAATTTTGTTTGTACGTTTCTTCTATTTTTTATTTTTAACTAATTAGCCCAGCAGGCCCAGGAATCTCTAGTTTTGCTCAAGGAGAGCAGCAGTGGTGAAGTCATCCTTTCTGGCCTGCTCCCTCATCAAGGCCAACAGGTCCCCACTTCTCTTCTGCCTTTTGGTGGGAGACTGGGAGCAGGTGGAGGGCACGGACTCCTCATCATCTGTGGCAGGCTGGAGGGATGATGAGGAGGATGAGGCTTCAGCAGCAGTCTGGTCATGGTTTGGCACCGGGCATGAGGCAATGAGGGTGGGAGGCTGAATAGAAGGCAGAGCCTCATGCATGGCATCAAACCATGGCCAATGGCTGCTGTTGCCTCACCACTGTCCGTGCCCGTTCCGGTGGGGGGGATTCTTCAACTCCTATTAACACATGGATGAAATAATGTTACTAACAGGGCATTTGGGGCAGAATGCAAACTGACCAAAAGGCCTAATGGAATAGTTAAAAGCCATTCAACATGTCCCTGTATTTTTGTATGACCTTTGTACAGCACATTGATTGAAAGCACTTTATAAATAAAAGTATTATTATCAAAATTGTGTGTACTCATAATTACTTTTGCCTTAAATGTTTAAGATTAATCAAATGTGTAATGTTTGATAAGTGATAGGCACATTACATTTCTTAAGACTGGGGTAGACAACGTAAAACTGTTTTAAATGTACAAGGGAATATCCACAAACACCAGCCCACCATAGTGCCCAGCCAAATTATTTGCTTTAGCCTACCTTGTATTTGGTTTTTAAATTGTCCCATTATTTGAGGCCTGTATGGCAGTCACCTGCCCCTCTAGCGCCATCTCCTTCGCCACACCCAGTTATAGTAAAAACGTTTTTCACAACAAATATACTTACTCCCAGCCTAACTTTGCCGCATTCCTCTTCCCACCCACAGGTTCTGTGGATGTTAA